TGGGTGAACACGCTGTAACAAAACAAAAAAAAGTCGGGATTATTACTACGTTAATGTGGGCCTTTAAAATCTTATGTTCGAGACGATTAATAAACCGTTTTAATGAGCATTTATTTAATTGCTAGAAATTAATTTACACCAGTAGTTCTCAAACTGGGGGGGCGCGCACAGTTTTCAGTATTTATTTTTCCTGGTCTGAAAACTATGTAGCAGGTGGAACTAATGTTCCAAAGCTTTGTTGCAGCCCGGACCTATTTTAGGAACGCACAAAACAACGTCTCTGTATTGTATTTGTTATTTTTCTTTTTAACAGAGTGTAGGTTTGGAAGTATAATCAGTAAAGTCACGGGTTTTAATCGAGGATCGTTAGAAGCCAACTCATGATGTCCGGATTCACCCTCAGCTTTTGTTAATTTCTACCTGGATTACTAAATCTGGTCCTCTGGAGGGATTAAAAAAACATGTTGAAATGTTTTGTCTTTAATCCAAAAGTTTCAGTCTGAAGAGCTGCAGTAAACTCAGTCTTATAAGTAGCACCTTCTCCTGGTGCATCATTGTTTCCCCTAGTTAGCTTGCCATGGCAGGGTGCTCATCTCATCCATGATTTTTGCTGATGGGGGGGCGGAGACATGTCTGAGGGCAGCTTGTACCAACAGTTTTTGAGCGGGGGGGCGTTCAACATGAGGGAAGAGGCAATGTGAGTGCTGCCTTGGGCTTTTTAGCTAGAGAGCCTGTATTTTGCGCTGCTACCTTTTAGTGATATGTCAGTGCCGGGTGGGGGTGGGAGGGGCAAGTTCAGTTTGGTAGGCGGGGTGGGGCACCCCGCCTGTATAATGGTAGGGGAAACACTTATCAACCAGTTTGTTGTGGACATCAGAGGACCATCAGCCTAAGAATAGATCATTAGCACACTGTTTACTATTCACAGGTTCATCCTTTTGGCCAGTGGCTGTTTAGTTTCCCCGATGTAAGACTGATCACCCTCCTGACACTGAACAACATACACAATATTACTCTGTTTGTGCCGGGGGACTGGATCTTTGGGATGAACCAGTCTTTGCCGTAATTAGGCCTTTCACGATAACAAATTTTGCTGGGCGATTGTCTCAGAAATCATTGCGATAAACAATAATATTGTTTGAAATGTGACAATAATTAGTGATTATTGTCACATTTAAGAAGAAATGTTGGTTATTTTTTGAGTGTAGTACCTTTTTTGACCACGGTATGGCAGTGTAAGACTGAACCGAAGGATGGATAGTGAGGGAGTGAGCAGCGTGGCTCTTTAAGAACAATGTGAGGGAGGCCCCTTGACGTGACATGGACTGTCTCTCTTCTGTTCTCAAAATGGCGGACGCTCTGTGTAGTTTTAGCTCTTTAGCATAGCATTTGTCACGCAAAGCTTAAAAAAAAATCAGTAAACAAGTTCTCAACTTCTTTTTGCAGAGAAAAACAACTTTTTACACGAAGGCACAGGTTTTAACTGGAGCTTCGACAAGACGGAGGTTTTTTTTTCCCTGAGGTCGGGCTGTTAGCTTAGCTCGTAGCTTAGCTCCTACCTTAGCTGCTTTTAACGATTCAAAGACGCGATTTTGGACGGTTAAAATTAATTTTAAAGAGAAAGGGAGTGTCTTCAGTAGAAAGAGAGAGACATGATAAAACTGATAAATGAAAATGAAGTCGATAATTTTCATTTATCGTGATTAATCGATTTATTGTGTATCGCCACGGGCCTAGCCGTAATGTATTTAGAAAATAAGCGTCTCAGTTTCTCTGATACTCCCTCAACATATGGAATGACCACTGGTCTGGGTCTGGGTTCCTCCTTTTCACCTGATGGCTGACTGGAGTCCTGTTTGGGTTTCTTCTCTGCTTTCAGGAAGGCCCAGTTAGGATATCCACATTGCTCTAGAGCCTGTCTTGTGTGGGATTTCTCCTTCTGCCTGGCTCCTGAGCTAGTGGGGACGCTGTCTGCTCTGTGATACAGAGTCCTGATGACTCCTAACTTGTGCTCCAAAGGGTGATGGGAGTCAAACTGCAAATACTGGTCTGTGTGGGTGGGTTTGCGGTACACCTCAGTTTGTAAATGTCCTCTATCAGAGACTGAGACCTCACAGTCCAAGAAAGCCAACCTGCCATTTTTTACATCTTCTCGTGTGAACTTGATGTGTTTATCCACAGAGTTGATGTGGTCAGTAAAATGTTGGACTTCCTGAGATTTGATTTTAACCCAGGTGTCGTCAACATACCTGAACCAATGACTTGGTGGTGTCCCTGAAAAGGACGTCAAGGCTCTTTTCTACCTCCTCCATGTACAGGTTGGCAACAATAGGAGAAACTGGAGACCCCATAGCACACCCATGTTTCTGCCTATAATATTGCTCCCCATATGTGAAGTAGGTCGACACAGTTCTTTTTTTAATCTGTCCAGAGGACCTGACTTAACTTTATTAGATTTTTCTACCTGGATTATGGATCATCAGAATCTGGCTGTTGTTTTTATTTCTTACTCGAGCCTGCCATCCAGTGGCAGCGTGAAGCAGCTGTTTTTGGACTGAGCAGATGTTTTTCCAACGAGCTAAAGCGTCAGTGAACAGAGATTTTTGCAGCTTTTGGTGTAATTCTTAATCTGAAGCAGCTTCTAGGTTTAGTTTGACTAAATGGTTTGAGTTGTACTGGTTATTTCTTAGTGGGGAAACTGGAGCGGTGTTGATGCTCCCTCCGTCTTGAGGTCGTGGATGTTAATTCTGTCAGAATGTTGCGTGAGTTCAATCAACGAATGCTCCACTTCGGGATTTTGCGATGGATTATGATCAGTTCATGGCTTCTTTAACATCTGATCAAATTTAATTTATTACTCCTTACCTGACAAAACACTAGAATTAGTTTTTTTGCGTTCACTTTTATCAATAATTAAAATTTACTGAAACCTTTAGCTTTGTGTTGACATTAATAGTTTAACGTTTAAAGGGATCGGACGTGTAGCTGCTTTGTTGCATTTGTTCACTTGTAAAGCTGCTACATATCGGTGACCGCAGAAATGACGCGAGCCAAATTAAATCTTTAATTTAAACTTTTTTGTTTACACGTTTCCATGGCAACGGCGCAGTGCGAGTCCCACGTTCATTAGGCCCAATTAGGCTTCTTTCAGCCTAATTGGGCAAACGTGTTCTTTCCGCTTTCTTCTGCTAATTGAAGCTTGTTCCACCTTTTCAGCTAACCTTGTTAGCATTTTTAGCTAATTTCAGCTCGTTGCGCTAGTTTCAGTTATTTCAGCTATTATTTAGCTGTTTTAATGCCAATTTTAGCTTTTTCAGCTAATTCCACAATTTGTGCACTAATTTCAACTTTTTCAGCCTAATTAAGCAAAAATGTGCTCTCCACTTTCTTCTGGTAATTTAAGCTTCTTTCTGCTCATTTAGCTACTTCTCAGCTTTTTTTTTTTTTGCTCATTTGTTTTTCTTCCGATAATTTTTTGTCAATTTCTGCTTCATTCAGCCTAACTGGGCCAACGAGTTCTTTCCGTTTTCTTCTGCTAATTGAAGCTTGTTCTACCTTTTTAGCATTTTTTAGATAGTTTAAGCTGTTTTCAGAAAATTTGAAGCTTATTTTTTTGTAATTTCTGCTCCTTTCAGCTTATTTCTGCTAGTTGTTTCATTTACTATTTAGCCGTTTCAGCTATTTCCATATATTTTTTTAGCTTAAGTTCAGCTCTTTGGTAATTTAAGTTTCCTTCTGCCTTTTTAGCTAATTTTCAGCTATTTTTGCTAATTTCAGCCTTTTTTAAGTTAGTTTTGTAATTGATGTGCTCATTTTTGCTTATTTAACCTAATTCAGCAATTGTGTTTCCTTTCTGCTTTCTTCTGCTAATTTAGGCTTCTTCCTCTTCAGCTAAAATTCAGCATGTTTTTAGCTATTTTCTGCTTTTTTTTCTCGGATAATTTAAACTTTTTTGTTCTCATTTCTTCTTTCAGCCTAATTGAGCAAACATGTTCTTTCTGCGTTCTTCTGCCAATTTAAGCTAGTACTACTTCTTCGCTACTTATCATTTTAGCTAGTTTCAGCCATTTTCAGGAAAAAAAATCAAGTTGTGTTAACTTCTGCTACTTTCAACCTAATTAACTTCTTTCTTATTGCTTGTTAAGCTAATTTCTGCTAGTTTATTTTAGCTACTATTCAGCTGTTTTATGCTATTTTTAGCTAATTCCACTTCCTTCTGGTAATTTAAACTTCTTTCAGCCTTTTTTTTAGCTAATATCCTAATTTCTGTGCTCATTTAAATCTAATTCAGGTTCTTTCTGCTTTCTTCTGTAAATTTCGGCCTTTTCAGCTACATTTCAGCCGTTTTCCAGCAAGTTCTTCATTCACGCTGCGTTTTCGCAGGAAATGTGATCGTGATCACAACTAGATCTAAAAACCGATGAACTCCAGCTGATTAACACAACACACTCCTGCACTGAAAGAAGGAAGACGATGCATTTTACTTTAAACACATAAAAGGAAATATATTTTCTTTTAAAAATGAAAAAACAAAAACAAAACATTTATTTCTCTAAACAGTTGCTTTTTGTCTTTGCAGAGGTAATTTACACAGGACGACAAAATAAAAACGCTTTACCCAGCAGCCGAAGGCGGCAGGCGGTTCGGCCGCTTCAGGTAAAGCGCGAGAAGTTAAAAGTCACGTACCGAGCTTCTTTTAGGGGTTAATATACACTGGCTCTGTAATTCACTCGTATGACGCACCATTGAAACATTTACACACGACGTTATTGTCTCGCCCAGAAACATGAATACTTGTTATCATTTTGAAGACGACGGTTATCAGTTCTGAATCGGTGGCTCCGCCCCCTCCACGTGAATTCAGTTGACTAAACATGGCTCGCTGTCGGACAAGAAGAAGAAAGGTGTCGTGGCGGTCTGCCTGGCAGAAACCAGGGGTGTGCATAGGTGGTCTTCCCCCCCCCCCACAGAGGCTCTGATAAGGCAGTTTTTCTCCTTTGTTTTTTTTTTGGTCAGCTTTCAGTTCAGGAGCCGTTGTCTCGCCGCTGATTGTTCCGGTACCAGTTGAGGGGGACGATGGCCGCCGGGATCCGAGGCGACGATGGCGGCTTGTTTTGTGCGATGTAAACAGAGACCGTACGGGTGGTTGTGAGGGGAGTGTGCTCCTTCAACGAACTGAAAGGCACGGCGACGTGAGGAGGTGCGGGGCTGCCGAGCTTCCTGTGCTTTTTTTTTTTTTTTTTTAAATGTCGTTTTCTTCACGCCGACTCGCTCCGGGAGTCGACTTGTCGCCACTGTAGCAGCTTCTGGTGTGCTTCAAAGTTCGGCTTGTTTGTCACAGGGGCCGAGGAGACCGGGGGTTACACAAAGTACCACAAGAAGCGCCTTTAAAAGGCCAACACACACACACACACACACACAGGCAACACATAAGACTGGTTTATGGTCATGCTTACTATTGCCTTTCAATTAGCTCCATCCGTCGGTTACAAAAGAAAATAACAAAATATCTCCTACGCTGCCCTGTCACTCCCCCCTCCCACTACTCGAGGACAGAACTATAGTCATGTACTTTATCATTTATATATACACGTATATGTATATTTGTACACAACAATACGCCTTTGAGGCTATTGAGAAGGATGGAGTGTCTGAATGATGCCACAGTCGTTCTTCATTTCCCACCACAGTTTATCTACAGAAACGAGTTGATGGGGGGGGGGTGGACGGGGGTGTCAGTAGACCCAGGAGACAGGGACCCACTGGGCGGTGGTGGACACCAGGTCCACGGCCTCTTCCAGCAGGCGGATGGTGTCGTCGATCTCGTTGTTGATGACGGTCTGGTCGAAGTAGTGGGCGTAGGTCGTCTGGAGCATCTCCGACTCCTTCTGGAGCCGCTGGAGGGAGTCGTCCTGGGGGGGGCACAGAAAGTTTATTAAAAACGTGACGATTGACTCGGAGGCCACTACTAACACGAACACCGGACTGCTGGGAGAGCTAAACTCGTCGGGATTCGTACTCACGGGTAGTTTCCTGCACCATTTTGGAATCTTGGATGCAAATTTAAAAAAAAAAAAAAAGAAGGCATGCCAAAGAAAATGTAAAGACGCTTAAAGCAAACTGGAATCACAAGATGAGTGAAATTGCGGCGGTTGTCACGCTGGCTTCACTTTACGTTTTAACGAACTGGGGTGAATTCGATGCACGTCCCGCTCCGGGATCGGGCTTTTTTCCCCCCCGACCCAGTTAGCTCCATGAGATTAACCGTTAAGAAGTTTTCATGCACCTGCGTGTTCTTTGAGCGGCAACACGACCGTATGTCTGAATTCAGATGTAAAGCCAGTGTGACTGCGTCTACGTGGAATCGGACTGTCGGTTTTGCTCTCTGTACCTCGGTCATTCCGGGGGTGATGGTCGGGGCTGCGATGAAGACCACGTGGGGAGCAAACTCTGCTGTCCTGAGGATCTTTAGTGCCTGGTGAGGAAAAAAAACAATGTTTTAAATATGGTTTACCCTCCTGACCCAACCTGGGCTCGAACCGGCAGCCCCAAGAGAACAAGGCAATTAACCGCTGAGCTACGCCTGTCACGATAACAAGCTGTGCTGGGCGATTGTCTCAGAAATTATTGCAATAAACGATAATATTGTTTGAAATTTGACTATAATTCAAAAATACTTTATTAATCCCAAAGGGAAATTAATTGTTGTAGCTCATCTTGGTTTCGTTAGTTGTTCTAGATGCTTATGGCTTTGGGCAGGAAGGATTTCTTGAAGAAACTGGCTGCAGATGCCGATCCGTCCACCCAGACCCAGCAGACCTCTCGTCTTCTTGGGCAGCAGGACTGCCTGAACTGCAGAACTCCTCCTCGAGCCCTTGCAGCCGAGCCCCTCGTCGACTTAACTGCAGGTGCCAGGGGAGGATCTCGGTCCTCCCGCTGCCACAAGCCGTGTTTCCCACTACCTCCAAGATCTCAGCGGTCAGGCACTCGAGCATGGCCTCTAGGTAGACGGCAATGCATCCACGGCACCTCCTTTTCAAATCATTTGGGATTTGGGGCTGTAGTTGTGGTCTTAAATAGTAATATCAAATTTAAGAAGAAATGTTCGTTACTTTTTGTGTAGTACTTTTTTTGACCACTGGATGGCAGTATAAGACTGTTTGAAGCAAAGGATGGATAGTGAGGGAGCGAGCAGCGTGTCTCTTTAACAAAAATGGGAGGGAGGCCCCTTAACGTGACATGGGCTGTCTATCTTTAGTTCTCAAAATGGTGGACGCTCGATGTGGTTTGAGCTCTTTAGCATAGCATTTGTCACACAAAGCTTTTCATTAAAAAATCAGTAAATAAGTTCTCAGCTTCTTCTCAACGGGGACAAAGCTTTGACTCGGAAATAAATTTTTGTTATTACTTTATGGAAAGAAAAACATATCGATATATATCGTATATCACGAATTATCTTTAAAAAAATTACATGTATATCGCAATTTATCTTTAAAATATTGATATATATATCGTATATCGCAATTTATCTTTTAAAAATTTAGATATATATCGTATATCACGGTTTATCTTAAAAACATTGATATATATATATATCGTATATCGTGATTTATCGTAAAAATATTGAGATATACATCGTATATAACGATTTATCTTAAAAAATATATTGTATATCACGATTTATCTTTAAAAAAATTAGATATATCGTATATCACGGTTAATCTTAAAAACATTGAGATATATATATATATATATCGCGATTTATCTAAAAAATATTGAGATATTCAGTTTGGTCCATATCGCCTAGCCCTACTTTGAAACGAGCGTAAGAAAATGGATGTTGGTTTTGTATCGCAGTAACTCTTTCATGAGACTAACGTTGTTGTTGTTAGAAAACAACCTGCTGTCTTTGATGGATGATATCTTTTATAGTATCGATATCCTGGTGTGGGTTTTTATCTTGACTTTTAATGTTTTCATCTTAAAACTGTTCCGATGGTTTGAAAGCCACACTTTCACACGTAGTAGACTATAAAATTCACTTGAAGCCTGTAGAAGTACTTTCCTCTCAAAGAGTCATGGTATTTGGACCAGGTTGAAAGTTCAGCTACAGCCAGCTTGTGTGTCACATGCAAACAGTTTAGATGTTAGTATTAAACATTTGATCAAGTTTTAATTAGCGTTTTATTAAAAAACACTTCCTGTTCGTACCTGTGGCTCCACGTCGAGGATGGCGATCATGCCCTGACCGTGGATCTGCCTGATGGTCTCCAGCCTGGTGCCGTACATGGCGTCCTCGTGGCTGCCGTACTCCAGGTAGTCGTTGTTGCTGATGTCCTGCATCATCTGGTCGTGAGACACGAAGTAGTAGTTCTTCCCGTTCTCCTCGTCCTTCTTCGGAGGCCGGGTTGTGTCTGGACAGAGAGAGGACAGCGGCGGGTTATCGGGCTTTCTGGACTCGTGCGGCTGGCCTGGATGTTTGGATGCGCGCTCGTACGAGGAATGGGGTAGGCGAAGCGGTCGGGGTGTTTGGCGATGAGCGTGTTCTTGATGTGCCTCCTGCCGACTCCATGTGCACCTGGACGGGAGGAGACGGAGGTAATTAAATTAGTTCAGCAGTAAAATGAGAGAAACAGATTAAAGTGTCTGTCCGGAGGCGTTTTGGTCGCTGTACTTTTGTCACCACCAGGGGGCGTTAACCCCCCACCTCCATTTGTTCACCTCAGCTGTTTGCGTTCGTGACTTCTTTGGCCACTTATTCCAAGCTTTAAGCTGCTTTCACTCCATCCTCGTCTTCAAACAAGAGAAGTAAAGATTCAACAAGAGGATCTGAAATGCATCGTTTCTTTAAGCTGATCGTGGTTTTTTTTGTGACGTTTTATCTCTTCGGGCGTCACTCCGTTGTTGCAGAAACGACACCAGTTGATCATTTTGGCTGAGTCAAAGTTCGGATTAAAAAAATTATAACAATTCAAACTTTTTTCTTCTTTTTCTCCTTTCATAAAAAAAAAAGAGAAAAAAAAACGGGCTCTGAAGTGAGAACGAGTGGGAAAAGCAGCCATTTTGTAAAACTATCACTTAGAAAAGTTTTATACTTTATTATGGTCAACTGAGTATTTTTATGTCATTTTTCTTCACACAGAATCTGCCCAAGAGTTCACGTCACAAGAAAATTAAAAGCCAATCTGCTGCTCAAGTAGGGCAGCAACTAAATACCCAAACAGCTTGCCTTAACCACCACTAGTTTGACCTTTCTTGTTGTAATTACCAAGCGAACTTACTTCGGCTTTAGCATTTGAGGAACGCCGTTTGACGACTTTCCAAACTTGACAAAAAGGTCTTTTCCTACTCTGCTCCTGGAACACCTTTTGCAACAGGAACTGAAGTTGTTCACCTTAATTTCTTTCAATTCAAAAATACTTTATTAATCCCAAAGGGAAATTATTTGTTGTTGTAACTTGTTATCCTCATTTCATTAAGAGACACACATATGTATATAGACAGGAAGGATCTCTTGTAAAGGTCCATCCCACAGTGGATCCTAAGAAACTGGCAGCAGATGCCTTCTGATCCGTCCACCCAGACTCAGCTGGCCTCTCGGTTCCCCTGGGCTGTAGGACCACCCGAATGCTGGGCAGAACTCCTCCCAGAGCGATGGCCACTCCTCCCAGCAGTCTGCCGAGCTCCTCGTTACTGCGGACATCCAACTGTAGATGCCCAGGGATGATCCTGTCCTTCCACTGTCATGAGCCATGTTTCCTGCTAGTTCCAGGATCTCAGTGGTCAGGCACTCGAGTGCAGCTGGCAGGTAGATGAGAATGCGTCCACAGAACATCCTTTTCAACTCTTTTGAGATTTGAGGCTGTAGTTGAGATATAATTTGAGCTTTTGGGATGTTAATCAGCTGCTGTTGGTTGTAGACAACTGCCTTGTTGCCATGGTTACGCATCATAACAAATGTCCAATGTCCCCTTAAATGTCTTTAAGGGGTTTCAAACATTTGATGATGTCAATGGAAAAATCAAGCTGGATATGTTCTTGTTTTTAGTACTGCACCCTGATTTGTTGTCGTTTACGGTTATTGCTCTCTGTACTTTATATTAGAGATGCGTGCCAATATGTTAAAACGTATTTGGCTGATAACCGATACAAATACAGATATTTTTTTTCCCCCTAGACCTACGTACAAAGACTAGTTTTCTCTGCTGTGGAATTTCTTAAATAAAAAATTAGTGAGTTATTTTGATGGAATGGGCGACGTCAGATATTTAATTTTATCACTAATATCGGCCGTTACCATTGTGCACTTTATATGTTTTGTCTGGAACAGGTCCTCTTGTAAATGAGTCATCGTGGCTCAATGAGACCAGCCTGTACCAAGGTTCTTTGTCATTCGCACCCCACGTGGTGCATGTGATGGAACAAAATTGTGTACACAGGGTTCCAGGTACATCCAACAAAAGTATAAAAAGAAAAACAGTGATAAGATCCAAGATATGAACTAAAAATACACTAAGCACCAACGGTATAAAAACAATACGCCGAACAGCACAGAGACATGTCTGAGCACTCAGCATGAGGGAAGAGGCGCCTTTAACTAGAGCGCCTGTATTGCACGCCGCTAGCTTAGTGCTATGTCAGTGCCGGGGGTGGGGTTTGGTTTGGTAGGCGGGGTGCTCAGTTCTGTTGAGCAGGTGGGGCACCCTGCTTGTATAATGATAGGGGAATCACTGGTTCTAAACGTAACGCTTCTTAACCTCCTTCCTGAGGGGAGCGGGGCAAAAAGTGTGTGCTGGGTGAGTGGGGTCCTTCATGATGCAGGTGGCCCTGTTCCTGCAGATGTCTGTGATGGTGGAGAGGCCGACTCCAACAGACTTCTGTGCAGCCTTCATGCCAGACGTCGATGCTATCCACTGCAAACCTGGAGAAGTCTGCTTTCACTGACACCTTTCATACTCCAGAATTTTACCTAAATGAGTCGTTTATCCCTTCCGTTCCAAAAGCAGACCCCGACAGTGTTTACTCCCAGGTTAGATGTAGAAAAACGAGTTCTCTGGACTTTATATGTTCTTTGAAACTCAACAGATAATTAGGTTTTAGTTCAAGTCCAGAAATGATGACAAACTAATCCGGAGATATTTTCAAGACGCGGTAGACAGCTGCCTTCAGAGCTGAAGGTTGTGGGTTCAAATCTTACCACTGAACCACTTTGAAGAGACAAATGTGCCGGCGCTTATAACTTACCGAGTAAAACGAGCGTTTTCCTCTTAAAAGATGGCAGCTTGACCACTTCCTCGTACGTCACCAGGTCTAGTTGGTCAAACACTGAACAGAGAAGGAAGACGATGAAAGACTGCAGGAAATCAGGACAAACTCATGCGCTCTAACTGGGTTGATCTCTGTTGTTTAACGACACGAGTAAAATATTACAAAACTCTGCGGAGATAAGAGTCTCAAAAGTAGTCACACCGTCCAAAAATGCACGTGTAGGAATAATCTGCGTGCACATAGCAGCTGTGAAGGTGACTTGACCTCTCCTGATTCGTAAACGTAATGCTGCATTCAAGGCTGGAGAAAAGCTGGGACATCTGAGTTTTTGAGAAAAGACCAATTTCTAACTTGACGCAGGAGCTTGTATTTTAAATCGCACGTTAATAGGGATGCACGATATTATCGTTATGGTATCGGCCGATATTAGCGTTAAGTTAGATATCGGACGTCGGCCATTCAATCCAAATAACTCACAATATTATTATTAACTTTTATTTAACCGTCCTATTGAGATTGCAGATCTCTTTCGCAAGGGAGGACTGGGCCTGAAGGAAGCCTAACATGCAAACTCCACACAGAAAGACCGCAGGACCTTCTTGCCGTGAGGCAACAGTGCTAACCTCTGAACCATCGTGCTGCCCAATATATATAGAAGTCGATATAAAGGACGCTGTTTTTGTAGGACAAGCCAGTGACAAGGATGCCGTCACGCACGCATACCTGATCTCACGGCGGAGAGGAAGAAGTCAAAATGTCGGCGGTGTGGAGGTTTTTTGGACTACGTTCAGTCTCGCTACATCGTCCCGTCAGAGAGGTTTTTCCGACGTAGCCTTACCAGAGTTACAAGCCGTCATTTCCGGCATCATTGAGAAGCTAATAGCCGATAGCACTTGGGTGAGTTTTCTGACATTTGGACGTCGCGTTAGCTCCGTTAGCATGATTAGTCTTACGGCACAATGCATAGACAAAAACTCTGAACTTAAAAAGGCACAGGAGGATCTGCAGCTAGGAACCTGGAACAAGCCTCCACAAGTGAGACAGCATCGCAGGTGACTAATGCTAATAACATTTAATATAAGTTAAAGTGCTGTGCATATCATATGGCTGTTAGTGAATATATGTCACCAGCTCTTACAGCCGTTACACAATTTTTGTATCAAATAAGTTAAAATAAATAAGAGGGTTATGTTCTGACAAATGAACGTATGTAAAAAAATATTGTGCATCCCTGAACATTAATGTTACTGGACTTTAAAGATGGACATAAATTTTTCCACAATTAGATTTTGATTAATTGAGCTGTACATTTCACAAAACTTTAAAAAAAAACTACCGGACACAATTATTTTCTGTTTGTTTGGTTTTTTTTTTACAAAGAACAACTTAACCATTTTGATCAGTTTATTTCAAATACACAGTTCACTCAATTTAACATCTTTCTGGACGTGCATAACGTCAGTGAAGGCACTTGTGACGACTTTTGAGACTACTTTATCTGCATAGTTATCAGGCTGTGCTACACACCAAACATACTCATTACTGGGAGAAAAACCAAGCTAACGCTAACGAAATCATGCTGCGACGTCTTTAAAAACAACTAACTGATCTTAAATTGTGTCAGATTGAAACATAACGTCAATCTGAATCACATTGCTTTGAATAAACCAGAGCAGCTCAGAAAAATATGAGAGAGGGTAAAAAAGGGTACCAGCTCTGAGTTACTTACATGCAGCCATGTCATTGGGTAAGACAGCATGAAATATGGACAAAGGATGGGAGTGGAAGGGTTAATAAAGACCACAAGAAAAGAAAAATTCTACTAAAAAGCCATTAGTTGCTGTAGAGGGGAGAACGACAGACGTGCAACATCAAGTTACCGGATCAGCAATGTGATTAAACCATCGGATCCACACAACAAAAAACATAACCCGACAACCGTTGGAGCTCTTGTACAATAAAATCACTTTTTACACGATAGTAACAATAAACGAGGCTTTCGTCACCTTCTACATGAAAAACTATCGCTGCAGTTATTTTCAGAACAAATCCGCCGCTGCCTTACCTGCGTTGTGCTTGGCCAGGTATTTGTCCTTGTACTGTTTCTTCTTCTTGCCAAACCAGGTGCAACTGGCCTGCTGTTCCTGCTTGGTCTTCTCCATGGCTATACACGCCACGCGCCTGAAAGCACCAGCACAAAAAGTCTACTTCTGCTAGATTTATCAGCTTAGTATCTAATCCCGGTTAAAAGCTAGCATAAAATCAATGGCGTGACTCAGACCTGCCTCACTATCACTATCACAAATACTAATGCAGAATACAACCTACGGCATATCTAACAAGGTCAGGTCCTCTGGACAAATTCTTCTTTGTTGAAACTGTTCATCTTCTATCCAAAAGACTTCTTCAGCCTGAAACCTTTTGGGTTTCAGAACGAAGGACCATCAACCTAACAATAGATCGTTAGAGCCCTAATAATGTCAGAATGGACAAACCAGTTTGCTGATGACATCCAGGTGCAGGGTTTCAGACTAAAGAAGTCTTTTGGGTAGAAGACGAAACGTTGCAACAAAGAAGAATCCGTCCAGAGGACCTGACTAAACCTTGCTAGATTATTCTACCTAGATTATTGAGCATCATCAGGACAAATACAACCTGCAGATGGGGACTGCAGCCACCTATTATTAGCTACCTGACAAGAGTCTTGCTCTTCTATGAACTTTAATACGACCCGAACCACAACGTGTACCCCCCACAAATGTTATATCAAAACGACCGGCTCAACACTGTGATGTTTGAGTTACCATGGCAACGTACTTTGCAAACAAAGATGCATGATGAAACTTTTAGCAGCCTATAAATGCAAAAGTGAGGTCACATGACCTAAAGGGGAGCAGTCTCTGAACAAAACACTAAATTTTTGGAGCCATTTTGGTTCAAGATGGCTGCCACAGCTACCTCAGAAAACTCCAAATTGAGTATAACTCAGTCATTCTTTGAGATATTGAGCTGAAATTTGATTTGGTCGTAGCTGAGAAAGTTTCAAATCAAAAATTGAAGGTGGCCGCCATAAATTACAAGACAAAATGACTGTAACTCGATTTTTTTGCCATGTTGAGCTGAAATTTGGTATGGTGTACCATATTTAACTGGTCGGATCTAGTCCCTGAGGTGGAAAGAGTGAACCCAAACACATAGTACTGTAAAAAAAACATTTTTTAATAGACGCCAAGTGGCAAGTGAGCACGAGAACTTGAAAACAAGGATAAAAGCAGAAAAAATTCTGACTAAAATTTTAGGTAAGCATTATGTAAACGGACGATTAAAAAAAAAAACCTCAAGTTCCTGGAGAAACTTTGACGTGGGACTGTCATGTGGCGTCCATTTAAAAATTTTGATTAGACAGTAGTATGTGTTGGAGTTCGCTCTCGAGTACCACAATACCAAATTTCAACTCAATATCTTTTGAAGTAGCGGAGTTCTAGTATTTTTTTCACGGCGTCTGTCGTTTGCAAATTACGTTGCCATGGCACCGAGCTGCTCGTTTTTCTCACCACTCCTGCAGCTCGGGCGAGGGGATGAGGCCCGCGGTGCCGTTCTTGGTGTTCTCCAGCTTCCCCTGCCACCAGTTGTGGTCGTCCTTGGAGATGATCTGGATGATGTCGCCCACCCGGAAACGAATGCCCGCCTCCTTGCAGGGGATGAGGTCGTCTTTCGCCGGGTCGTACTCGAACTGAGCGCGTACGTAAATCTGGGTGCAAGACAAACACATTAATTATTATTAGTTGTCAAAAGAAATAAAACTCACGATGCGATATAGTATAAAACCTGGTTTCTAGGTTGTTCTAAGCGGAAGCGGGGAAAAGCTTCGACAAACTGATGAGCAGCAGGATGGGAGTGATGCTGCTTGCACGGTGCTTCTCTGCTCCTCTGCCTACAGCCACTTATAATGAGGCACCAAACTTTGCCAAGTGAAATGGGATCAGCCGGGATCTACTTCTACAGAAACAGAACGGGGATCCGTTTGATACGTCTTACCTTGACGGACAATTTGTCCTTGATAGCAGGTCTGGTCATCTGAGGGGTTGAGAGCATCACACACACAAATCATGCAGCAGAAATTTTTGGGACGCATAAACAAAGTTTGTGTGATCCGGGACCACAAGTGATGCTCCGTGCAGCTCATAAAATCGTTTTTCTTTATAACTATCGTATGATGGAAACTAAAGAGACGGGACGGGAGCGGACGTACTCTCATGCATGTTCGATTCATCGACAAACGAGAGGAACAGATGGTGACTAGAAATCCAGTAGTAGATACCAACTCTTAAAGAGAAGCAGCATTTGCTTTTTCTTAATTTAAAACTTAAAAGAATATATTTGTGGGTAAATGTTTATATTCAACGAATTTCTGGTTAAATAATTTCATTAATTTATGGAATAAAACGATTCTTGAAAATGAACTTCAACAAGTTTGACCTGTGTAGATCGTGGAGTTCCTCAGGGTTGTGTTCTTGGCCCGCTTTGTTTTTATAGTGTGCCATTAAACCCACACGGGAATCAAACGAATCATTTGAAGAAAATAGTTGGATTAATGGATTCTAATCTGAGAGATTATTAGATTTAAATGATTTACTTTCAGCAGCCTCAATAAACTGAAAACGGAATGAGTCTAACTTAAAATAATTAAATGTGGTTTACTGAACATGAGATCTTTTTACTTTAAATCCCTGTTAGTTAATGATATGATAACTGATCACCACTAGCGTTGTAATAAATCAGTAAATCTCACCTGACGGCCTTTAGGCTGGATCGTCGACGGCAAGTCCTGTGGAGGACATCATGTTTATGATTGACTCGGGGAAATTACTTTCGGTGAAAGCAAAATAAAAGAGGAAGCGCGCACATACCAGGATGGAGCTGGTGACACTGGCGTGGCCATTTGCAGGCGACTGGCGAGATAAATCTGGAGAATCTTTCTGCAAAAAATTTTAAACGAGCCGTTAATTTCGCTCGTAGGACAAGAGGAGGACCGACGCGCGCCGGCGGCGTCTTACCTCGCATGACATCGACTGGGAGCGATAACTGGGCACGATCTTAAAGGTGATGCTGCCCCTCATCTCCCTCTGTGGAGATAAAGTGACGTTACTGACGGCACCTTTACTTTGTCCGTGGAGTCGAGCTTTACGGGACGTACCAGCATCTTCTGGAGCTGCTCCACCGTCTGATTGGCCACGCTGATGCTGTTGATCTCTCGAATCTCGTCTCCGACGTGCAGAGTCCCTGAGGTAGAGAGATAAAATAAAATGATATATCCACGAATCCTTTTGATTTTAATATTTAGTTTGGCCCAACTGGATGTCATATTTTTACCTTGTCGATGAATCATTCCACCGTGCATGATGCGAGCCACGATACAGTGGTTGAGGTCGTTCATTTTTAGAGTAATGCCCTAAAGAAAAAGCGGGACAGAGTTTATAAATGTAGACAAATACGTCTAATCTAACAGCAGCGGCCCGCCCGGACACCGTACCATCGGCTCGTCTGTGTTCTTCTGAAACTGGACCAGCCGGACCCTGGTCACGTTCTCCAGGTCCATGTCTCCGTTGGTGCTGTCTGGGGAGTCTCCGTTCAGGTACGGTGAAGTGGGGGGCGGCGTCACCCTGAGCGCCTCGTCGCTGTACACCTCGTGGGCCACCACATCGTGGGTCTGCAGCAGAGCCTGGAGGCACAACGAGAGCCGTGGACTTCAAGGGCTTTAGGTTCTTTAATGTCTCGTCACACATGAGAGCCGAGCAGAGCACTGAGAGGGTATTGAAGCGCACGTGGAGCAGGTTGGGAAGAGGTGCCTTGCTCAAGGACACCACAACAAATGGGCATGGCAGGGAATCAGACGGCTGAAATCTTTAAATCAGTTTGGCAAATTAAAAACTGCGATTTGAGTTGAATTTGTTTATGATTTTTTTTAAATCTCACCTTTTGAATACAACAGAGATAAATAAAGGCAATCACCCCGTCTATTTTTTAAGGTTTTATCGCTGTAATCACATTAATGAAGCGTTCTCTCTATTGTGATCCATTTTTTCTTCTGTATGTTTTTCGGAGCGATTCTCGTCCAGCAGTTTTCAGCTATTTCAACAAATCATAAATCAGAGCGTTCGGCTCTTTCAGGACAATCCTGCCATGACTTTTGGTGTTGGTGCAACTTTAGCTTTTTGAACTCTTTAGCCTTTTCTGACATTTCCCCTCATAGAAAATGAATCTTCGAATCTTTAAGTCCGTTTACAACTTTTACTGCTCCTTTCACATTTTGTTATGCTTCAGCTTCTTTCAGCTTCTTGCTGCAAATTTATACTTTTTCAGCTACTTTCAGCCATTTCTTCAAGGTTTTTGTGGTAATTTTTGCTACTTTCAGACTAATTTTCTTCCTTTTAATTTCAGTCTGCGCTCCTTTAACTTATTTCAGCTACTATTTAGCTGTTTTTATCATTTTAGCCTTTTCCGCTAATTCCACAATTTTTAGCTCATTTCACTTTTTTCTGTTAAAGTTTCTTTCTTTTCAGCTTTTTTTTTTTAGCTAGTTTTCTAACTTTTTAAACATAACTCAGCAAATTTGTGGGGTTTTTTTGGCTTTCTTCTGTTAACTTAGGCTTGCGCTTCAATTTCAGCTACATTTCGGCTGTTTTTCAGCAAGTTCTTCAGCTAACTGCATTTTCGCAGGAAATGCAATTTCTCTAGTTCTGTTTAAATTTTCTAATTCCAGGACTTTTGTTGCTAAAAGTATCTGAACATGTTTGAGTCTCTGCAGTGATACGAGACGTTCATCCACCAGATTACACAAACATTTCACGTCAACGCTCTTCCCGTTTTCCAAACGAGGAAGTAAAAGGCGCATCCTTTAGATTCCTCAATCTCTGCAGAAGAACCCGCTCACCTACAAGTGTGTGAGCTGCCATGAACCGAATCCCGCTCCGTTAGCGGCGGAGGTAAACTCGCAGCCGGTCGGGTCAGCGAGCAGAACGAGCTAACTGGATTAAACCAAATCTGAGGCGCTCCACTCCAACGCCGAGAGAAACGCCTCGTCTCGTTACTTCGGCGCTTCTAGGTCTAGAAGGATTTCTGCTTGCAGAGCCTGAAAGACCCGGCCGCTCATAGTCACGATACCTGTTCTGTCCCAGTTTCCTGAATTCTCGTGTGTTGGCGATCGAGCGTGACAGTCCCACGGTTTTCAAGCGACCTCTTGGGTCTGCGCGAGTTTAAAAGGTCACTCCACCGTGTGTCTCCGCTGCCCGGGGGCTCGACGAGTTCAGGCGCTAAGCGGCTTTGAAAGTAACGAGGACCGTCAGGCGCGCTCAAAGACCACTTCACGGCCCGCTCGGAGAAGATCAGTATGGTTTCCCACCATGAAGTGAGGCTGAGTGAGGATCCTCCTGAGCTCCTTGGCTTCCATGTTCTCCGGGTAACAGGAGATGGTTTCCAGTACCTGAGGAGAAGAAGACAAAATAATAACCACGAGTAATTAAGATGTATCACCTGCAAACAACTAATTAAACCCCGACCTCACAGTTGAAAGTGAACTTTATGACCATTCGTGTTCCTTGGGGGGGAAACTGTGATGGATTTGTAGAGATGGAGTTTTTTCTGGACTGGGAATATATTCAAGTAGGTAGCAGTTGCAGTGTCCCTGTATTTTTTTTTCTTCTTGTCCAAGGTGGCACAGAGTGACGGATACTGGCAAGTGGACGGAGCCACCATGCTCATGGTGGATCCAAGGGGTGGCCTTGACCACCACAGTGATCTTCAACCAGTTCAATCGTTTGAGGAAACCAAACGTTTGAGAAATGTAAAATCTACAAAGCATAGTTTCCTCAAATGACGGGGCTGGTCTGTTTACGTGCATGCTGTATTTTTCAGCGTCTAAGTCGTATCAGTCAAAATAAGCATCATGAAGAGGAAAAAAAACATATATAAGTCACTTCGGAGTATAAGTCGCGTTAATTATGTGTCATGTGTGTCGTGCCAAAAACCGATTGGAAGGCGTGGGAGCGGGAGGACTCGCCGTTGCAGTTCTTCAAAATTTAACAAGAACAATTATTTGTTTGCTTGACATTATAGCAAAGGTGTGCCTCAGTTTAACTTTTACTTAATAAATGCACTTTAATGCTCAAATTAGCTGCATTTCGCCGGGGCGGTGCCGCTGGTTTGACTTGCTCCAAACAGCAAGCAGAATGAAGATGGGGGTGGACTATGGCAAGCCGATTGTATCATTAATAGCTGGTGAAGATTCTCAGTCATCCGGGACATGATAAATTCGAAATAGTTCAAGACAAAACTATAAAGTATAACAAATAAAGTCCAGTTGTTTTTATCTTGAACTATTTTGAATTTGTCATTATAGCCACGTTTACTTATTACATGATACAATGGCATGCCATACTACTTCTACTACTCTGCTGCCATCTTGTGACTGAAAATGGTAATGTTCTTTTTTTCCAGTCAGAATGAATGAAAACGGTCATATCAGCCAAAAATTGGTTTATAAATATGGGGGGGGGGAAATCCATAAATACGTTGGTTCAGCCGATAAGTCCCTGAGCATGTAAAATATGCAAAAAACTGCGACTTATAGGCTGAAAAATACGGTGTATTTCAAATTACCGTGCTCGGATGGACAGACGGAGGTTGTTTCTAATTCCACCTTTTTGCTCTGCGACGGTGAATCTGCTATTTACATCCCGTCTTGGGGGAAGCCAACGGGAGTCGGCCGTTCTGAGCGTGTGATGCTGCAGCCTGCACGCATGTGGAACTGATTTTTCATGCTAAATGTTTACTTGTGCACACAACAAGTGTGTTTTTGCTCTTCACACCCAATGGAAAACAATTTTGTCTGACGAGAAGTGAAACTCCGCAGCCACGTCGAGTCGGGAAAGAGGAACACGGTTCACAATAAGCTGAAGTCTGTCCCGGTAGTTTTTTTTCGGAGGCTCTCAAACGGATAAACAAACAAAAAAAATCAGAGCGAGCCAATATTTACATCAAAAGTACGGAGATGGAAGTAAAAAATAAAATACTGAAAGGAATGCATTATTTTATGATAATTACAGGGTCAGAAAATGCATTTTTAAAGGGATTTCCCTGTGGTTGATTTTCTTCGTAAGGAACACTAGAGGGCGGTAATGATACCGTGAGGTTCGGGGAGCGTAAATAAATAAAAATAAATAAATACAGATTCGGAAAAAATTGTGTTTATCGACTGCAACTAAGTGAAAACACAGATAAAAGTAAATGTGGCTGATTTTTTTCCCCAACATCAAAAGATCATCCAAGGGTTCTTAATAAAATAAAATCAGCTAAAAGTGCTCAAATCAGATTAAATTAAAAGGTTCAAGTCGTTGTTTCAATCTTAAGTTGATTTTTTTTTAATCGGTCAGGTTTAGTTTCCGCAACGTGTCCAAATATGAATTTCTTGTTTCTCAAGTTTTTTTTAATCTAGAACGAGGCGCGTTAAGAACAAACAAAGCCTTAAGAGTTCAAAATCTACACTGAAATGTATAAAAACTTGCAAATCCCGACAGAAAACGTTTCAATCCAAAACCCCAGTAAATTATGTCAAATTCTTAAGTACGACAAAACGTGGATTTATTTGTGAGAGAACAGTTACTTCAAGGTTCTTATTGTCATTCGCATCACGTGTCATGAGGTGGAAGGAAGTTACACCCAAAAACAGCAGAAATATAAAGTCTATTTTTAAAAAAAGAAGCCGTATAGAAAGATATAAGACGTATTAAACAGCACCTCACCTCTTTGGCTCTCTGCACTCCATCACTTGGAGGGTTTCTAATCTGAGGGGACGACCTGGTGTTGATTTTATCATAAAGCTGGAAAAAGAACAAACATCTAATTAGACCACAGTGACGCCCAAAGACGACGCTGTAAGAAGTTGTGAGCTGCTGGAGACGCGTTCAGTTAAATTACAAGCTGCAGTTGAAATATTTGGAGTACCGTATTTTCCACCGAACACGTCGCATCAGTCCAAAAATGTCTAATGAAGTGGAAAAATCCCGCGGGAGCATGTACGGAAGGACTTTAACAAGATTAACACTTAAAAACAATTGTTTGTTTGCTCGACTTTATAGTAAAGGTGTGTCTCGGTTGAACTTTTACTTAGTAAAAGGACTTTGAGGGTCAAATTCAACTGTCAAGTTGAATTGCGCCGCTCGGGGTGGCTGCACGTTGGAGCAGCTGTTACTTTCATTCTGAGTTAATGCTTTTGAAAAAAAAAATTTCTGGACGTAAATTACTTTTTTCAGAGGATTACTTCTTCTGGTATCGGACGCTGTGCAGCTGGAAGGATTTTTACTTTTGAGCATTTATGATGCGTAACCATGGCAACGAGTTGTTTTGTAACAACCAGGAGCAGCAGATTATCATCTCAAAAGCTCCAATACCTCAACGACAGCCCCAAATCCCAAATGAGTTGAAAAGGAGGAGCCGTGGACGAATTCCCATCAACCTGGCGGCGGTGCTCGAGTACCTGACCGCTGAGATCCTGGAGCTGGTGAGAAACTCGGTTTGTGACAAAGGGAGGACCGGGATCACACAAGTGACTTAGATGATCTGGGTCATGGCTCAATTGGTTTCGGTCATATTTAACCAATAGGAGTTTCTGCGTAAAAATGGACAATTTTATCTCTTACTCATGGTGTCCCCCAGGGCTCAATCCTTGGCCCTCTTTTATTTGCTCTTTTCTTTGTCCCCCTCGGCTCTATTTTCAGGAAACATGGCATTTCATTTCACTTCTATGCTGATGATTGGCAGATCTATTTTCCCATGGCACAAAACAACACATTCCAGCAACTTACACGCTGCCTTAATGATGTTAAGGCATGGTTTTCTCTTAACTTCCTTAGTCCAAATGAGAACAAGACTGAAGTTATGATGTTTGGACCGAGTTGCTGTCCCTCTCCCTTTTAACACGGGATCTTATCTTTTAGGGCATCTTAACACACCTGCCGTGAAACTGGTATGTTTGTATGTTTCTTTGTGTATGCTTTTATTGTCTTAATTTATTTGTCTTTTTGTAGCACTTTGGCTACCCTTGCGGTTTTTAAAATGTGCTATAGAAATAAAGTTGATTGATTGATGGGAGACGCGTCACAGAACAAAACCCGCTGAGCCGGCAGCGCCTTTATTTTGTTGGAAGTCGCTGCACGGAGGGAGCGAGGACTCACGTCTAGCAGGGTGTGCAGGTGCTGGTCCTGGAAGACGCTGTGCAGGAAGTCCATGTCTTTCTCGCTGCAGTCCGTCAGCGCGTGGATCTCCTCCAGACTGTCCAAAACCTGCGACACCGCCCCTGAACAAAGGCACAGGTGTAAGCTTCACGCTCGAACCGCAAGCGCAGAACGTTCACGAGCACGTCAGGCAGTCTCTTCAAGCGTTCAACGGCACAAACCACCAACACCGAACTCATCCAGACCAGGCAACGAAGAACAAACGGCACACGACAGGAGTCACGACACGCACACAGAACGATTGAAGCCCGAGTACCTGCTGCATCGCCCAAACATGCAGCAAAACCAGAGAGACAGCGGTACATGGCGTCAATACAACATCAGAGGAAAGTCACTTGAGAACATCAGTGAGGAGGATGAGTGATGCACGGTGGAAAACAAAAAAACTCAGGGAAAAATGAAAACGTGCACAGAAAAATCTGTAGCGTTCGCACAATTTCAACACGATTAAATCTAGATTCTTGATTCGACTCGAGGTTGACGATTCAGCGATGGCCCGAAGGCGTTTCCTGCCTCCGACGCTCTGAAGGAGCAGGAAACCCGAGGCTGCGATGTCGTCACCGTTTATCTTTCTGTGACCGCAGAACGTGCGTCGTGTGAGAAGCGGAACAGCAGTTTCACGTTCAGGGCCTTCAGAACCACAGTTCATCACCAGTACGTTACTTTTTTCCTTTAACAAGCGGAGCGTCGATGCCGCTGAGGGTCTGAAGAGGGATTGTAGTTTTGGAGATGTCGAGGCTTTTTGGATTGGAATTGAACCGAGGATGAAAGTAAACCTACATGTTTTTGCAGCAAGATATTCACGTAGAAAGGAGTTGCACTGTGGAGAAGAACGGAAGTATTTATTATTATTGTTCATAAAGCGCAGGGAGCAATTTTATCCACTACCAGGGGCGGAGCCAGGGGGTGGCCAATGGTGGCCTTGGCCAACATAGTCACTTTAGCCACTCCAGTTATTTGAGGAAACTACTTTAAGCCTTTTTTTCTCTCTCTCTTCTTCTTTCAGCTGCTCTTCAGGGGTCGCCACAGCAAACTAACTCGCACGAAGACATGACCATTATTTTTACGCCGGATGCCCTTCCTGACGTTACCACCGAGCTACCACAGCCCTCTTTGTGGAGCAGAGAGCTGCCATCTAGGGTGCCCGGGGGAGCAGATGGTGGGGGTTAAGGGTCATGCTCAAGAGCTCAGAGTGGGGCAAATGAGGGTGGAGGCAGGTGTTTCCTCAAATGACTGAGGTGGCCTGTTTCCACTAGCTTACATGCCTTGGCAGGGTGCTCATCACTTCTGTGATTTCTGTCGATGGGGTGGTGAAGGAAACGGTTCAGCTTGAGGGAAGCAGAGCGCTACCTCTGTAGCTTTTTAGCTAGTGCGTCTGTATTGTGCTGCTAATTTAGCACTACATCAGTGCTGGCAGCTGAAGGGCGGGGGGGCATTTCGGTTCGTTTGAATGGGCGGGGTGCCCTCCTTGTATC